TAACTGTGTCTATGGACATAGTGTGTGGGCATGAGAGCGTTGTTTAAAGACAGACTTAAAAAAATGTGAGCCTATCAAGTAGTTAAAATTGCGAAAAAGCTAAACTTAATATAATTTTGTTACTTTATCCTTTGCTCACTAGTATGTGTCCATAAACCTACTATAAGTGACACCGAGTAACCTCTCTTGTCACAGTAAAATCTGTTTAAGCTTAACTTGCAGTACAATCTTCAGGCTCTGACTCATTTGCAGAGTGCTGATGGCCTCAGTCTAACGGCTTAATTTCCTCTGTCTAACGGACACATCATAAACACTGCACGCAGATAGAGCAGTAGAACAGAAAACAGAGATGACTCATGTCATTTAAGGTAAGTCTGTGATGGGGAAAATGAAAATGACCTGTTTCAGATACGATGCTCTGGGAAATTATTTCATGCAATGTGCACAGCTCTGCAAAATCCGTGCTTTCAGAACTACTAAGTGCCATGTAAGACATTTTATACACACACAAAAAAAAACACAGCATCTTCTTATTAAAACAAAGACATGAAAACAGGTGACTTCATGAAAAACATTTTATTGACCCACTGATATCACTTATTTCTATACAGAATAAATAGTGCAAGAGAAAAGATACAATGCAATGGCTTGAAATCTGATCAACAACACAAAACAGTTTCACATGAATCCAAAACATGAATCTAAATCAAAAGTAGGTCTTAGTTTATGAAAGCAGTATCACTTGTTAATATTTAGCAATTTCATATACAATATATAAAAAAAGACACCAGTCAGAAATTGCACATGGTGATCACTCCTCTTTGGAATGACTGATAAGTCTTTTATATGTTTAGCTATCAGTTTTTCTGTGTCACCTGTCTGATTCTTGGAGAAGCAGATATGACACAATAGACAAAATATAAGCTTGGCTCAGCATAGAATCAACATCAGATAAAAACAACTTTACACTACAACACGGGCAGAGCCAGACGATTTAATACTGTATTTCCTATCTGTAATATGCAACACATAAAGTCGAATGATTCCATTAGTCAACTAATCATTTCACAGAAACAAAATCATGAAGACTTGCAAATGAACTGATATTTGCCAAGAGAGTAACAGGCTACTGTACATAGCTTTTTTTCAAGAGGCAACACAGCTGATGCTTTATCATCCAGTAATCATGACACCTTCATAACAGTAGAACATGTATATGTGTCAACACTGATACTAAACAGCTACATGAACTGTGTAACTCACCGTAGCAACTAAAAACATGAACATTAACTGAGGAAGTAGAGCTAGACATGAATTAAAAGCCATGATGGATGGGAAACATGGTAAAGTTTTCTCTGAAGCACCGGTTTCACAAACACTGCAATGATTAATCAGATTCACACACAGGATCACTTCACATGATATGAAACACACATGCACACACAGGCACGCCTGCACACACGTGGGAACGCACAAGCACACATGGTGTACAGTTTAACCTGTGAGCACTTTCCCTAAGCCTGCTATAACAAGACCTTATTTTATAGACCTCATCGGACAGTGGCATTCGTGAGCATATGTGCACCCATCACCCAAACAGTGCTTTCCAAGTCAAATGTCTTCAGCTGATTTACAACAAAATAACAACGTAGACAATTAACATTATGAAATTGTCTGTTCTGTGTTTTGTCATTATCCTCTTGTTTTATATTTATTGACTTTTTTGGCTTCATCAAGATATTTATCAAGATCTCATCTTACGTTGTGTCTCAAATTATCTGGTATAATAAGAAACTTGGTGCAAAACAGCATCAGGCTTGTAAAATAAAAATGTGCTGTGTGTGGTTGTTAGATTTCCCTGTTAAAAAAAATTTGAGTGATTGTTAACAATACTGAAATTCAATTACAATTAAAATGAAATTATAAAATTAAAAAAGTTTGGACTTGTGCATTAGGGCAGCTAAGATTTCACAATTTCAATAACATGCTTCCAGTGTGAATAAATATATTCGAGAAATACAAAACATAACTTCATGTATGAGCTTTCGTTTGTCAACAAACTAGCATTCACCTGTCAGAGAGCAGCGCTTTTCAGTGACTGAAAGCTTTAAATGTGCAAAAGTTATAGAAAGAGTTTATATCTTCTTTTTATGTAAAGGACAAGACAAAAAAAGTATATAGCCACTGTAATGATCCCACAAGGCAAAAGTCAAGCTTTTGAATAACTTCTAAACAGTTTACTGTAATGATTATGGAATAACCCAAGACTCAACTCTTATTAGTTTTAGCTCGACTGACTTAAAGTCAGGGGATTATCAAAGTTATTAGGATTCATCCTCTGGGGGCCACGAATATCTGTGCCAAATGTTAGCGTGATCCATTCAGTATTTGTTTGGACCACCAGAATGAGCAACCAATGGACTGACTAATTGCCACTGTGGGAGCCACTGTGGTTAGTCAGAAATTAATCACACTTAAAACCCACTTGAATTTATATATATAGATCCACTTTCACTAGGAAAAGCACAGTTGTATTTCTGTTAATCGTTTCGTAACCTTTCCATGGAGCTTTCAACAAACCATGTATCTACAACAGTACTGTAATAACTATGCAAAAGCACTTCAAAAACTTTAAAGCTCAAATTATCAGGGACAAATTAAGTCAGTACCAGTTTGGGTGACTTATCCAGTATCCTTTGTGATTGTCAGTTAGCAGACTACCTACCCAGCAATACTGTGTTTGCTACAAGATATGGCACAAAAACATCACAATGTGCAACTTTAAGCTTTGGGCACTTCAATGTCTGAGGTAGCAAAAATAATCTGTATACATTATACATATTCTTATTTTATATGGCTCTTCCTTCAACTGTTTGGTTCAAATTGTTTTTATTAGGTGTCTATGTGCAAAGCAGCCACAGACACCTCCCTCTACAATACTTTGGCACCAAAAAAACAACCTGAACCTGCTCTCTGAGGATGAACAGTGTGGTTGCGTCCTGAAGAGGGCAGCCTCAGGCAGTTGGAGAGAACCGTTTCTCCCTGTTTGCTTCCAACAACTCTCAGTCCATCATGTTGCACCAGTGCCAGCACCAGTGCTGATCCGCAGGACAACAAATTAAACTAATCTTTGACGTCCTTGATGACGGACAGCTGAGACACCGTTTTCTTGACCCGCAAAGCGGTGAGTCGAGCAGCAGGGTTGGCGTACCAGCACTCTCTCATCAATTTCCCCATCACACGCAGAGCCTGGTGTATCAAAAAGGAGACAGTACTATTTATATAAAAGACAACAGTGCCAGCTTCTTACCTTGAATAACATAAATACCAAGAGCTTCAGTTATATGCACATTGATGCTCCCATTACTTGATTCTGTATAGATAAATTCACTATAGGTAAAGTTATTTGAATAACCTTTTATATGATGGCCAAAAATTAATAATGTCAGAATAACAGAAACAGTCTTAGCCCCACTATCCCTCTGTTAGGTATTGGTTCAAAGTGAAATGAGTTGAACCACATTTCACCAGTCTGGGACAAATGGACAAATGGGCCCCGTCCTGTCAATAAATCCTAGTCAGTATCCTAATGAAGGTGGAGCTAAGAAAAAGGTGTGTCATCCCTCCTGTGCTGGTGAGACTTGACATCTTTCCCCCAAAACATACCGAACCTTTGAAGGGACTTTCTGGTTTCATACAAAATGGGTGTTATTTTTGTAGTTTTTATCCGACATTCCTTTCTTTACTAATAAAATTTCATTAATTGCTGAGATCTGGGAGCACGGCAACATCGCTACAAAGTAGTCTCAGGGCAGTCGAACGATCAATCAAACAACTTCTATAAATTAGTCAAACTTATCTAAGGGTAGAAAGAAGGCTGTAAATTATAACCTGGACTTTCTGGTTAATATTTAATCTGCCTCATTTCAGGGTTCAGTATGCATTTATAGCTGTTCTGAAGGGCCACACTTTAATTAATAAAGAGCAACAAAACACAATAATCCTTCAAACCCAGTTTCAATCTCTACTTAAAGCCAGATCTCAGCAGTTACTTTGGCAAGTACAATGTTATTATAACTGATAGGAATGATACTACGAAATACTGGTGGAAATTACAAATCACTTTGCTGCAATTGTTTTGTTCAGTTAAGTTGTTGTCAATAACCATGTACATGTAGTTCATTTTCTAAA